AATGTGTCTTGGACGTGTCTACTGAAATGCTTCTTCAGTTTGTAAGGCCGAGTTTGTTTTGAAATAGTTTCCAAGTGTTACAATGATGTTTTCATTACAACTATGTACAGTATTGGCATCTCTGCTTCAAACTTTCTAGTTTGGCTTACATATTAATAGAATGTGTAAAAATTTTGGATGTTTCTTGTTTATTTTGGATGCCAAATTACATGTAGTTATTACATCTAGTCTGTAGGTATAGTTCTGTATATAGGTTACTAATAGTTTTGTCCATAGTGAGAGATCTCATCCTTCTATGAGTACCATTCTAGAAGATTCTTAGCGAGACAAAGATGGTCTGAGGATCAGAATGAGTTCTGTCCGAAGAAATGCTGTAACAAGTAAATTCATTCTGTGACAAAAATCGCAAGAAAACCTCAGCTTTAACTTCAGCTGTGAATTGTGGTATCACACAATAAACCAATGACGCAATAGCGCAGATACGAGGAGGTAGTTACCAGTTGCCGAACTAGAAGTCACATTTTCAAAATAAATTAAACTTTCAAAGTTGATAAACAATTTTTAAAGTTGTGACATATTGTTAATGTCTCTAACATTTTTGTAGCCAGTGTCTGTAACAAATGGTAGGTGGTGATATTTTACATATTAATGCCTCATTGAGGTTTAAAGTTCTCATAAGATTGTAATCAAACTGGTAAATAGGTTTGGAGGTTCAAGAGAAGTCTTTGATTCATCCTTGAATTAAATGAACAGTTTATTACTTTACAAGTTCCATCATATGGTATGCAGCGGAATACCTTTATATAAGGATGTGCTTGATTTGCCTCTTGGTACTCTACTTATTTAGATGTTTGCCATCTACATGCGTCACAATAATTGCCCATGGGAGAATGCTCTAACCCTGAATTGAATGATTTACCTCTAGTATTGAGCATTTTATTTTCACCAAGTGTTTTTCATAAAATTCATAGCCACTGGGTATGAACTTGCCATTTAAAAGTGTATAATCTCTTAACAGATGTGATGATATTTTTGTATAAATTTACTTACTCATGTGATTTTGGTATAAACTTTCTTTCTGACAAAAACATTGAACAAAGCTTTGTGTATGAAAGAACCTTGGAAGAATGTAAAACATCTTCTTTTTAGAAGTTCATCATAAATACCATGCCTAGTACTTCAGTTCACACTGTCTTGTTTTACTCAATCTTCACTCCGGTTTCTATATTCAATGCAGTTCTCACTATCAACATCAGTTTCCCAACTTCACTTCTCATTATCTTCTCTTGTTTCTTTATAGTTTTGTGAGATTTCTAAAGAATGTGCTTAATATTTTGACAGAAAATTTTGTTGAAAATTATGCATTTACTTGTAAGAGAAATGTGTCTCCCAACAAAAACAATTTTGTTTTGATCAGTGAATAATGAAGGTTTTATGCATACTGAAATATGAATAAAATAATGCGTTCTCATATTGTGCCAGTATATGTATATTACATAGCATTTCTAATATGTAACATATCATTTAGCAGCAATTAACTTTTATGCAAGGCTCTTTGATTTGGAGAATTCTGATTTTGTTGTTTGGGACTGCCTGGCATTTACGTTTGAATGTAGTGGAAACACATGTTATTGCCTAAATACTCTGAGATGATGCGTAATATCAGCATTTACCTTTAATTGCTTGAGGCCAAGTTCCAGCTAAACAATCTCTACCCGTATTTTCTTAACTTCAGCTGTACTTGGTCAGAATTTGGGCTATCTCATAAACACATCCTGTCCAACTTCAGGATCCTTGCCAGAGATGTATAGCTCTGCTGGGAAGAGCAAAATGTGAGCTTTCAGAGAGAATCTTTAAGAATAAGACTCCAGAATAAGACGTAAGAAATGAGAAGATGCCAGATTGATCCTGCATCTTATTAGACCCCAGACATTGAATTGTATGAGCAGATGCTGATTGATAACTGGAGACTACATTGAAGTGACAACTTTATTTAGAATTTCATTTCGAAAATGCATACTTTTCTTATTCAGTTCATGTGAAAAGCAAACAAGATTATTAAAATTGTAACAAATTTTAAGAAGAAAACTAGACATATTATTGAGCCTTTCAATACAAACGTGCCTATTTCCTTAGATTTGTACAATTTCTGTATTTCACGATTTATTGTCGAAGAAGTGACTCATATTATCATTTAACCAAATTGATGGCTATTGATGTGGAAGAACTAGTTTAGTGAAGAGATAAGCCTGCATACAAAAAACTGATTATTCAAACATCTGTTTTATAAGTACTTCTTCAAAAAATATTCTAACATGTATATAACATCTACTTGCAGTGATTCACTCAAGGAGTGAGGTTATAATAATATCTGAAAATATATTTATAGTTATATGTGATAAACTATCGATAAATGAACTTGACCATTTTGTGATTACAATAGCAAATGAAACAAAACTATATTCCTTTAACCTTTAGCGTGCTGCCGGCGGACTCGTCCGCCGAGACTAAAATGTCTCTCACAACTGCCGGCGGACACGTACGCCCGATTTCAAACTTTTAAAAACTTTACTTTTTCGCGCCATTCGTATTGTCCAATTAGATTGCCCGATTTATTCAGTGCCTAACATGACTTCCTGTTGACCTAGAAATGGCGATATTTCGAAAAATAATTCTCAATTCAACAATTTAAACAGTGTTTTAGTCGTTTTTAGTGAACGAATCGTACAAAATGGTGGACAAATACGATCACAACGAAAATGTGGAGGAAATAGATTACGATTTCGAGCTCTTTAGGCTCTTGGAAGCCGATAACGGTCATCGAAAATAGAAACTAGAATATTTTCTGAATTGAAAAATTGAACATTCGATCGCTGCAAATTCAGATTTGGATTCTGACCAGACGAAGAGGCGGAGCGGCGGATTCCGGAGGAGTATTCATGGTATATTTATGCCCAGTCGTGTTAATGTACGAAAAAATTCATGAGAACATTTTTTTCATGAGCCAGGCCACTGTATCTTCCCTTTGTGAAAATTTTATCCAGATTCATTCAGTAGTTATTGAGATATTAATTATTTAGTCCAGGCATATCATTTTTTGCACTCTTTGAAAAATAAGCCAGTTGCGTGGGATATATTTGCTGAAATAAGGCAGCATGGTAAAGGTTAAAATCTACTCTTACTTCCTATTTTACATTTCATTATGACCACCATGATGGATGTTTTAACAGAATGTTATGTAAAACAGCAATGCTTCATCTCAGGTCAATGCTTGTGTTGAAACTCAACTAGAAATACACTGTGTTATTACAGCTCTCCCTGGCACATGCTATTTCTGTTCAATTCCCCAAAAATATAAATAAAGAATTATCTGAGTTTTTTAGAAGTGCATGCAATGTTGTGTGTTATTTTCGTGCTTGTTTAGTTCGTTTATCTAAAAGTGTATGCTATTTGCATTATTTTGGATGATTAACATAGCCATAGTATAATTTTATCTATAGGTTAAAAATATGTTGTTTGAGTTGCTCTTGGCTCCTGGCATACATTCTCCAATATATAGTTCATCTTTTAGGGAATGGATGGCAAGTTAGAGAAATTGATGCATTTGGAGGACTGCCTGCCAAGTCTAAAAATACAAATTGTTCTATATTGCTCGGAACATCATCGTTATCCCCTATTTATTGAATTTGTGATAATCTCGTAATCTATCTACTCTACTGAGCTAACATCATCAAATCTACTTTACTCATATATTGGTGTAATTACTCTTCACTAATTGTAGAAAATACATCATGATGATTACTGCCATTAATTAATAAAGCTGTACTAGATCGAGCACATGTAAATCGAAACTACTTTTAGTTGAACATGGCAGATGTACACCTTATCAAGGTGATCCATTCTATTTCTGTGACAATAGTTTTGTTGACATTATTGTAGAAATATAATTGATCATTTCAGTAAAAATGGCAACCTTACCCTTTGGGAATGGAGATAATGTTTCATAGCTTTTTCGGCATGCGATACCATTTTGAAAATGTTGATTTCTGTATTCTGTTAATATTAATACAGAGCCTTTATTAGGCATACCTTGAAGAAATGTGAACTTGAACCTGATCCTAGTAATATGTAATTTATTCAGGTTTAACTGTCTGTCTCATATCTGGGACAATATCATTCACATTTGGAAAATATATTCTTAAGTCTGCATATCCATCTTTCAATGTCAGGTTGGAAACTAACTAAATAAATCTAGTTTTGACTCTGACCCCCCCTCCCCCAAAAACTAAATACATGAAAGTTGATCGCTGACTTCCGGTTTGAGAATTTGAAAAATGATTGCTAAACACAATCTATTCCTATCGTAATTTGCGGCTTTTAACAACTTTATAGAATTTTATTTATAGAATAAAATCCTTTGAAATGATCTTGATGAAGAAAGCATCAGGTAAAATCTTTATTTTTTAAACCATTCCAAGGCATTCTAAGTCAAAATTGCCAAAAATTTGAAATGTTGAAATTTATCGGATAGCAAACTGAAATGGGTTAGAACCCCCCCCCCCCCCCCCACCCTAACTAGATTTATTTAGTTTTCTATCCGACATCGAACTTTTGATGCCTCCCCTTATCAAAGTGTGACGACTTTCAAATGTCAATTTGTCATACTTATAATTCATTTTTTATGAGTTATTCATTAATTTCGGAAGAGTACAACAATTTTACAGGTTTGTGTGGCTGGGCAATATCATTATCACCCATGTTTCAAAATATTTGTATTTGATGAAATGTTGTATGTTCTTTTATTTTATAGGTATTAGTAGACTAGCTTTTCAACTTAGATATAGCAAAGAAAAATGGAGCAGGAACTTGTAATTTGAGAGATAAAATTTTACAAAGTCATAATTTTACATGATAGAATATTGGTACATGGTTCATTCCAACCCTATGCAAAAATATTCTGTAACAACATTTCTAAATGTGTTCTTTTGGTGTTTTTTCAGCCTGAACACACACTGAAGCAATGGATGAACGAGTTTCTCACAGTAAGTACATTTATGAACTACATACCCTGGGAGCCATGCCTCAAGAAAAAACTAGGCTACATTAAGGATGGTGTCCAATTGTTTTGGATTAACGAGGTTAAGTTTGTTATGGTTTGAACTCCCCCTCCCCTCATCTAACGAAATTTTAAAATGTTGATTTGTCTTTCACTTGAATATTAGAAAAAATCATTCGCCAATGAAACCATCATTTACCCCCTCCCCCTAACAAAAGTAACTTCATTATTTACACAATTGTTGATAATTAAGACACCATCCCTTATACCCTTGAACCCAAATAATAAGCAATTGTAATAGGTTGGTGATAGTAAATATTTGAGGTTTTTCTTGGTATACAAGTTGCCCACTTAAATTGAGAATGCTAGGTTCATTTGTTGGGTTAGTGGGCATAACGTCTTCCCAGAAAGGGTAAGAGAATTGCAAGTTTTTCATTTAAACCCTATTGGTACCTGTTACACTGCTGGGTTGAGTCTAACGAAGCATTTTTGTAACGAAGGTTAGCGAAAAAATTGTGTCCACACTGGCTTTATCCAACCCTAACGAAGCAATTATTTGGTGTTACACTGCACTTAAAATGCTTCGTTGCGCGTGCGCATTACTCATCTGCCCCACCCACTTATTATGATTAATATTTTTATTCTTTTGATATAAACCATTGATCAAAGTCAAAAATCTAATCTTTAATCTTTATTTTAACAAATCAGCACAGAAAAAGACTATAGTTCAAAACTCTCGGGAAAATAAAACAAGATGAATGTGATCATTCCGTGCACATGTCCATACATTTTTCCTATCATTTCGATTTTTATATATTTCAGCTGTCAATACGATTAGACGTATTGTTTTCATTTTCTATCATTTCCTTTGGAAAACATATGGAATAAAAATAGGCCTATGTTAATTACTAGGAGGAATTGGATTCGGGGTTTATACAGACGACTAGTATGTAATATCGTATAAAATCGTTCAATTTCCAAATGGACTTCTCAGTTATATTTCAAACAGTGTAGCCATTACTAAGATATCTCGGTGTTCGGCTGGTGGTTTAACTCACGCGGTCCTAACTTCGACCGTTAATTTGAATTTTCGACCTACCAGATGCTTGAAAATCAAGGATTGCGAGTCTCATACTGCAACGTTTTTCTTCAAACCTATACCATTAAAAGCAAAACAAAATTGCCTTTCTGTCGGTGCATTACTTTATTGTAAAGAGTCCCTCGTTCTAGCAGCGTTTTGGTCCCCAGCTGTTAGAAGGCCTTCTTACCACTGGGGACCAAAATGCAGCTGGAAGTAGGGACTCTGTTTAAGAGAATAATGTACCATCAGAAAGGGATTTTTGTTATGCTTTGAATGGAACAAGTTTGAAGAAAAACGGTGCAGTATGAGACTCTTAATCCTTGATTTTCAAACATCCGGTAGGTCAAAAATTCAAATTAACGGTCGAAGTTAGGACCGCGTGTAACTACTATTTCATGACTAATTCATTTTAATATGAATATTACCCGTCTCGCCAATACTCCATGCATATTTGAGTGAGTTTGACATAAATTAGTATGTTAATCCATCAGCCGTCCGTTGAATTCGAAAATGGCGCAAATAGGAAGAAACTTGAATATCAGTTGTAAGCATCGTCTTACGACACATCAATAGTGTTTGGGGCTGGCCTAAAACATGCAGCCTCTCTGTGGCAAATATCTGTCGACAAGAAACAATTTTGGCCACCGTTCCTTGTCCGCAGGTTTTACCGTATTTGTATACGGAAGTTTTGAAACGTAATTAATTCAACATATTTAAACATGAAGTTTAAATTCAATTCAATTCAATTTCAATTTCAAAATAATTTATTTCAGTTTTCATTACAAAAATTACAACATTATACAGGCTATGACACCCCAGGGGGTGTATGACTGCCCATAATTAAATTTACAATAAACATGATAAACTGTGAACATTTAAAGTGGTACATAGGTCAATACAATAATATAATATAAATACAATATACAAATACAATAATATGAGACAATAAAGAAATGAAATAAATGTTTTGGTTACTCTGTACTCAGGAGGTCAATTTTCAAACGAGATATGAGTGAATTTAATGGTTTATTTCTAATATCTTCATTGAGGGAATTCCATATATATGAACCATGGACCTTAATAGAATTTTCACCAATTCTGGTTCTATGTTTAGGAATATCTAAGTTATGACCAAATCGAGTTATACGTTGATGTATGTTTTCTCTAGTTTTGAAATAGTGATCGTATAATTTTGAAGGGAACTGTACAGATTTGCTTATAACTTTTTTCATGAATGAAACAGTTTGGATTGTGTGAATATGATAAATATTAAGTATTTTAAGATCTTGAAAAATTGGGAATGTGTGAGCTAATCTATCTGAATTTGTTATTAATCTAACAAATTTCTTTTGCAATATCAGTAGTTTATTTAATAGATTCTTAAAAGCATTTCCCCATAAAATATTACAGTAATTAAGATGAGAAAAAATCAGAGAGTTATATATTATCATCTTTGAATTTAAAGTATGAGCATAATTTGTTCGATATAACATTCCTATAACATTTGAAACTTTTCTATGAAGAGCATTGATATGGGGAGCCCAAGATAATTTTGAATCAATAATTACTCCCAGGAATCCTATCTCATCTACTTTTTCAAGGTTAGAATTTGCAATTTTTATTTCATTGTTCACAGATATATTTCTTTTATTTCCAAAGACCATGTATTTTGTTTTCTTAACATTTAAAGTGAGTTTATTGGCCAACAACCAATCATTGATGTCACACAGTTCAGAATTTACGGTTGTGGTCAAATTATCAAGATTGGAATCACTACATAATATATTAGTGTCATCCGCATAAATCACCAGTTTGAGTTTATCAGAAACTAGATAGAAATCATTTACAAATATGATAAATAGGAGGGGGCCTAGAACAGACCCTTGGGGTACTCCACAGTTAACGATTGCTTCTTCAGACAAATATTTCTCGGATAAACTTTTAGAGTATTCAGTTTTCATTTTTCGATTTGATAAATAAGATGAAAACCATGAAAGTGCAATTCCTCTTATACCATAATGTTCCATTTTTTTAAGTAATATTGCATGATTAACAGTATCAAAAGCTTTTGATAGATCCAAATATATTCCGATACAATATTCTTTGTTATCTAATGAATGTCTGACATTTTCAATAAATTCTAGGAGTGCCATGTAAGTTGATCTATGTTTCCGAAAGCCGTACTGGTGTAAATACAATAATTCATATTTCTCTAAAAAAGTAGATACTTTGTCATGCATTATTTTTTCAAACATCTTAGCAAATACACTTAAAATAGATATTGGTCTATAGTTTGTGAATTTATCATGTTCCCCCTTTTTGAAAATTGGAATAACTTTAGCAAGTTTAAGTTCTTCAGGAAAAATACCTGTGGTCATAGAGAGGTTATAAATGAAAGTAAGAGGATCAGCTATATGATCATGTAATACTTTAACAACCTTTGGTTTAATATCATCAATGGCTGCGGCTGAGTCCTTTAAGTTCTTGATTTGATTTTGGACAGTATTAACATCAACAGGTGCCAAGAAAATTGAATTAATATTACGTTCGATTTTATTAACATTATCAAGTGGGTCTTTATCAGAGTTAATTTCATTAGCTAGCTTTTCACCAATTGTGCTAAAAAATTTATTAAAATTGTCTGCTATGGATTTTCCATCATCAATTTTTCTTCCTTCATGGATAAAATTATCATTAAGGATCTTCTTAGGTTGTTTACGTTTTAAAATAGAGTTTATTACATCCCAGGTCTTTTTTATATTGCCATTGCTAATTTCAAATTTTTTCTTATAATGAAGCTTTTCTGCATTCCTGATAATATGATTAAGTCTATTTTTATAATTAGTGTAAGTGAGTCTATTTTCATCAGTTGGACATTTTTTAAACTTAATATATAGTTTATTTTTCCTCTTAGCTGAAGTAATAATACCCAGGGATATCCATGGTCTTTCTAAGTTAGAGTAAGTTTTGACAGTTTTAGTTAATATTGGGAGACATCTATTGTACACCTCAGTAAATTTGTTAATTTGTTACACCTAAATTCCAGAAGTCTTCCGAAGAATAAGTGGAAGTTTGATCTTATGCAGTCATTAACAAAACATTCCTTCTCTGTTATTGCTATGTCTGAGACATGGCTTAACACGGAAAATGAAGCCAATTTTCAATTAACAGGATATAATTCTGTTTTTAAATCCAGAGTTGGTATTAAGGGAGGTGGAGTTTGTATATATATTAAGGAAAATATCATTTTCAAAGAACGTCATGATCTTACAATGAATTTAAATTCCTGTGAAAATGTAACAATTGAAATTACTCCACCTAATGGTAAAAATACTTTAGTATCTGCTATTTATAAGCCTCCAAATTCTAATTTGGCTATTTTCAATGATGAATTTAATGAATTCTTAAATAAAGTCACATCTGAAAAAAAGCCAAGTTATTTATTGGGTGATTTTAACTTAGATTTACTTAAAGCAGATGAACATAACTTGTTACAATTTGTTACAATTTAAAATCGTCGAGGAATAAAATAATGGAACGACTAGTACAAGTACATGTATTGCAATGGGGCGATAGCCAGTTGAATACGATTTCTGAAGAGAAACATTTTCGAATCAATCAAATCGGCTATATTCCCTGATATGATTCACCGGGAAGCAATTGTATCAGTATCATGGTATTAACACCTTTAGAATTACATTCAAGGTATAATTATTCGAGGCGCAAGAAAAAATTAATATTAAACATGTATGCCACAACTTTCTATTTAGTAAGCATATCTTATGTAATTTCAAAAGTTTACCCTTCCACACTTGAGACGGAGTTTTCTGAAAGAGGGACATTTAAATATTCTAGGTTTATTCTCTAATAGATCAGATAAACGTTTCAAAATACCGTATACATAT